GGTTTTAACTTTAAATGTAATATTAATATATAGATAAAAGGTGCTATTGGTCATCATATATGTCTCTTCTTTTTGTTAGTGTATTATCTAAAGCAATTTCCTTGTCTAAAAATGTAATAGTTACAAGAGAAGACCTTTAAAAAGTAAGGTTGCAGTTACTAGCAGCAAGAAGACATTGTTTTGAGAACATTTGGTGGCATCCAAGTCTGACACAGCTCAGCAAACAGTTTCTTAGCAACACAAGGACTAGCCTTAAGTTACAACCGTAGCATCATCTAGTTATTTCTTTGGATGTCTGAGTCACAGTTACTCCATTTTTACTTTTAATTGTAATATTCTTCTTAATAGCCAAAGCAGATGTCACCATTAATGATGTTAGTATTTCTCTAGGTATGAGAAGATGCCAGAATTGGGACTCATAAAGTCTTCTCCTGGAAATAACTATTTGAGGGCCTCTTCTTCCAGTTTTTCCCAGAGTACCAAGTGCCTCATTCCTGATCTCCACCCTGAACTACTTTCAAGAGGGTGTTGAAGATCAGCAGCTGCAGTAATTTAATCTTTGCAGAGGTAGATGACAAGTGCCGATTTCCAGTCAGCAGACTCCATTCATGGTCATAAATTTGACCATAGTTTGGGGGTGCATTTCATGACCATTTATATCCCATGGTGCCGGGGATGCTTATTCCCAGGTCTGGCAAAGATTTCGTTGACAGGCCACTCAATGTACTATTGGACTAGGCCTCATTAACAGTGCCAAAAAGCTCCAGACCACCTATCTTTACTAGCCTCTTATGATACAGGAAAATATTCCTTCTTGTGGCTTCTTCTCACATCTAGAGTTAGACACTGTTACAGTCATTGATCTCATGGATCTACATGTCATCATTTTTTTATCAGAGGCTCAGTCAAACATTTGATTATGTAGGAAATAGCAATTTTGTAAAAGATAAAATGCAAATAACATAGCTAGCAGTATTAGTAAAGTCGTAAGTAAGAATTGAGCCAAAACTTCCATTAGGTGCAGCCCAATATATTCCAGGTCATCTAATTTAGTCTATTCTGTACCAATCCTTATCTTTCAAGGAAATTATGTATTGGCATTGTCCATAAGGAAGATCCCCTGGAGGAGGGCATGGCAACCCACTCTAGTATTCTTGCCTGGAGAATCCCCATGGACAGAGGAGCCTGGTGGGCTACAGTCCATGGGGCCCCAAAGAGCTGGACATGGCTGAAGCGACTGAGCGTGCATTGTCCACAAGGCACACAGTCCAGTTCCTAGTGTTACTAGACTGATTATCCTTAGGATGATTTAATTGTTCCCAACATAGAGGCAACTTTAAACTTAAATTACCATTGCCTGGTGTTTTCTACATAAATCCATCCCATAATTGTGGGAGATTTTACTCCTTGGCTGAAACTTCGCTTGTTGGTCTGATTGAGCTTGAATCACAGAAGAAAACTCATATTTATGGCCAGAGTCAGAGTAGGCATTATTAGCTGACCCAGTGAGGGGATTCTACCTGGTAATATCAGTAATGACCTGAACATGACTGGTGGTCCACACATTGCCCAGCCAAAACGGATTCCAATGAGGAGGATTCTGAGAGGTGGGTAGGACACGTGACGTCTCCTCTTGACCTTTCCCGAATGTTTCTGGTTGGTGGTGACTTGTTAGTTCCGTGATGCTTACCAGGATGTGTTGTAAAATAGCTCACGTAAGCGGTTACTGCGGTGCCTGGCTGGGGTGAGCAGTTTCAGTCAGTGTTTCCCCTAATGCAGTGGTTAAGAATGAAGGTTCTGGACTTACTTAATCTCTGTGTTTCAATGAGTAGCTAGTTCAGCTCGTGAACCCTCGTTTACTAACCTAGCATAGTGGTTAAGAGCTTACACTTCGGGCTTGGACAACTTGGGTTCATAATCCCAACTCTGCCACTTGTCTGCTTTGTGACCATAGGCAAGTTACTTAGTCTCTATGCCCCCCCCCCCCCAACTTCTGTCTAATAAGGTTGATCCTAAGGGTGCCTACCTCAGGGTGTAGGAATGGAATGAATGCAGCTGTCGCTGTGCTGATGGTGGTGGTTCACCATCACACGGACCTTTCTTCATTCCAGTCCATAAAATCTTGATGTTTGTCTGCAAGGCTCTATCTAAATTTTTTAAAAATACTACCCAATATTATTGCCTAACAGATACTCTCCATTGCATTTCATCTTTAAAACAGCCTTGCAAAATCAGGATGTTTTAAAACAACCTTGCAAAATGAGAATCTGTACCCCTGTCTTACAGATAAGGAAACTGCAGCCTCAGACATAAAATCACTTTCAAGCCGTACCACCAGGACTTAACCTTGTATCCAGCTTCTCCAAGGCCAAGGCCTTTCCACTCTGCCTCATATTCAGAAAGATTAGTCTGAGGTTTGGGAGATTATTGAACAAATCCAGATGGGAAAACTTGGTGAGAATGCCCCCTCCCCATTCCACACGTATGCCAGCTGTCTGCCTGCCCTAGGCCTTCCACAAGATGTCTTTTGTAGGTTTCATGCAAATACAGGTTTCGTGATGGGCCAGAAGTTAATTGAAGAGACAGAACGAGGGTGGGTTGGACAATTAGTGGCTCAAGTGACCTGAGAGAGAGAGCCAGAGGGGCTCTGGGAAGGAGAGCAGTAGTCTCAGAGGACACGGAGTCAGCAAAGAGGAGAACTGAGATTCAACAAGTCCGGAGCTGACGCTGGAGAGCGAGGCCTACGGAAACAGTTGTAGGTCTTGCTAAAAGGCGGTTCCAGACTGTGGCACCGGGGCTGACCCCAGCCCTGCCGTTTACTCTTGTAGGTTTGAACATGTGGCTGCAAAAGGGCTGCTGGTAACCTTTGGTAAGGGAGAAGTATCAGTGCACCAGAATCTCAGCTCCACGGCTGCTTAGATTGGTGTGTGTGGACTTTTTAGTCCTGAAGTCTTTGTTTCCTTATTTGCAGTTCTAATGGTTAGTTATAATGCAGTTATAATGGTTTCCTTATTTGCAGTTCTCAACTGTGTGGGATTATTGCAAGGCTCCAGTGAGATGTTTCCCTGGTGAGACCTTCTCTGATGTCTCTATATAAAACTGCAAAAAAAAAAAAAAAAAAAAGCCCACCCCAAAACAACAACAAAAACTCCCCTGCATATACCACCTCTCCTCCCTGCCTTCTATTTCTCCATCTCACTTGCCATTACCTACTGATTTTACTTATTTTCCTGCATTATCCTACTGATTTTACTTATTTTCTTGTTGTCTGCTCACCTCCCCCTACCCCAGCAGGGATTTGCCCCTGGTATATAGTAGGTGCTCAGTAATCTATGGTCAAATGATGGATGTTGAGGCCGTGTCAGCTGGATCTTAAAGATGCTGGGCAGAGGCAATAGGACAGCTCACTTGGGATGCCACAGGCTGCCCATGAAAGCATTTGGAGCCTGGATTTTAGGGTGGTGGCTGAACCCTCTCTGGCCACAGCCTGCAGGAAGTGAGCCCTGTAGGAGAGCCCTGTAAAGCCGGATGGGCCTGAGTACTAGGGCTTCTCACAGAGCCAAGAGCCTCAGGACAAACAGGAAGCCCATGATATTAGGCTTCCCTGCTTTCTTTAGCTTTTTAAACCACTCTGATTGCCCTGTGCAGGCATGCTCAGTTGCACAGTCATGGCCTCCTCTTTGTGGCCCCATGGACTGCATCCTGCCAGTCACTCTGTCCATGGAATTTTCTAGGCAAGAATACTGGACTGAATTGCCATTGCCTTCTCCAGGGGATCCTCCCAACTCAGGGATCAAGCCTGCATCTCCTGCATCTTTGCCACTGGGCCACCAGCGAAGCCCTCTGATTGCCCCTAAGTGGAACAAACTACCTCAAAGAAATGTCAGTCCCAGCACCATCCTTACCATCCAAAAGGCTGAGAGAAAAGGCACTGGGTTTGGAGCCAGATAGATCCAGGGGCTTGGCCTGGCCCTGCCCCTCTTTAGCAGTTAGGCAAGTCACTACACCCCTCTGAGTCTCTATTTCCTTCTCTGTGAAATGGGTGCAGCAGTTTCCCCCTTGTGGGCCAGCCTCCTAGGGCTTTGTGTAAAATATAGTGAAAATGTGTTTGGTGACCTAGCATCATTAGACCAAAGGGCCTGGAAGGCTGATTGTACCTGTGGCCCTCAGCATAGGACCAGGCACATAGTAGACACTTGGAACCAGGTGGTCAAAGAGTTGTTAAACTCAACTGACAACAACCTGTTGGAAGCAGACGGTCTGAGTCTTGCATGTAGTAAGGCTTTTAGGCAAATTCTCCCCATGGACTTTCTACGATTCTACAAGTTAATAGATTCCACAAAGACCTAACTTGTATCAGTTGGCCTCATTTTATCATCCACTTGAAACTTACTGATCCATCCTTAACTCGTTTGCAAGATTTTTTCCTTTGATAGAGACAGCTAGCTGAGTGACATGATGTGGTTGTTTACAGTGTAAGCAGCTGAGAAAAATGGGCTAAACTGGAGTTCTGAGCTCAGGTTCTATGTTCCAAATAACAGAAAATTCAAGGTAAGCAATATGGGGAGGTAATTAGCTCATGTAACTTGGATGTTCAGAGGTAGGCTTCAGGCATGGCTGTATCCAGGGGCTCAAGCAGTGTCATCAAAGAGTCAGATTCTCTGCATCTCTCTATTCCACCTGCTGAGAGCTTGCTTTATCTTCAGGCTCCACACAGCGCACCTCCGCATTGCCCCCCACCCTCATGTCACACCATCAGGTGGTTCTCAGTTCTCATCCAATTCTCAGAAGGGGAAACAGCAGAAAGCCATAGAAACAGAAACCTGCATAGCTCTTGACAGTCTGTAGAGCGCCTTCCCTCTCAAGAAACCATTACTGGAAGTGGAGAGGCATTTATTGTCCCTGCTTGACAGGTGCGAGAACAGCCCTTGAGTAACCGGCCAGGACTCTGACTTGTGACTCTGAGCAGTCACCACGCATCTCAGCCCCTTTGTGTAAACTTACAAACCCAAGGGGCTGACCCCAGAGGGAGGGGGCCGGTGTGGCTGAAAGCCCCGCCAAGTGCCTCTTCCAGGCAGGAGAGGTCCCGAGGAGGCTGCAGTCACGAGGGGGCCCAGGAGGAGCCGGTCTGGGCACAGAGGCAGCAGCTTGATGTGAGGAGCAGTCACGGGGCTGGACGCACGCACAACGGGAGGCCTGCTTTGCTCACCTTCAGGACGCTGCTGCACGCGCGTGCGTGCGCACACACACACACACACGTCACAGGGCACGCTGACGCAGGGCTCCCTGTCCTGGGGCGGCTGAGGCATCGGGATCAGCTGTCCGTGATGGTGACTCTGATGGAAGTTGTCCTGCATGTGACTGAGCTGGGAGAGCCAGTGCCCTGGATTCGGAGCCAGACATGCCTGGCCTGCATCCCAGCTCTCCCACGTGGTTGTGCTGTGACCCTGCACCCCGTGCTTTAGTTCTCCTGAGCCTTAGTTTTCTCTTCTGACCTGAGCTGGTAATTCCCACCTGGCCTGGTTCTTGGAAGGCTGAACAGAAAGCTCCTGGCACGTAGTAGGTGCTTCATCCATTGAGCTTCCCTTCCCTCTTCATACTGGTCCTCCTGTTGACAGCTGTGTGACCCTGGCCGAGCCACTTAACTTCTCTGTGCAGCGGGAGCAACAAGCGCCCGTACTGTGTGGTGTCATGAGGATGAGACGAGGGAAGCCCTGGGAAGCACTCAGTGCCCGGCACGCTTGTTCTCGCTTCTCCTACTAGCTAACATTTACTTTGAGTGTTTAATATGGGCCAGGCCCTGGGTCTTTGTCTTACTGTTTGTTTTGAAATTCGTTCTGATGATTAGCCCAGTGATACAGGGACGCACTGTGATGGTTGCCGTTGGACCCATGAGAAAACAGGCCCAGAAACCGCAAGTGACGTGCCCCAGGTCACAAAGCCAGCAAGCAATGGGGGCTCTGCTCTGCCGTGCTTCCCTTGGTTGGGACCCTCGCCTCTGCAGGCCCATATTTTCTGCCCAGGTGCAGGGTGCATTCCCGCCCTCCCAGAGTCAGCAGGGGTATCAAGTGCAGGAGTGCCAGGAGCCACCAGCGTCTGGAAGGTTCCCTGGGAATGTGAGGAGCGCAGTTATCGTGGGCCCGGGGCAGTGAGACCTGTCTCTGGGAACATCCGTGCCCTTCCTGTTCCGAGGAGGGCCGGGCATTGGAGAAACCAGACACAGGCCACCCGGGGATACTGCTTGTGTTGGCTGTCACCCAGAAGGTTACAAGTTCATGGTCCATTTCTCTGAAGTTCCGAGCCGCCTCAGCGCCCCCACTTTCAGGGCCTGTGTGGGGCCGTCTGTGGAATGGAGGTTTCTCCTCCTTGGGGAAGGCTGCCAGGGCACGCGGGGCAGCGGGGGGCAGGCAGGGAGAGCAGCCAAGGCGGTCCAGGGTCCTGCAGGAGGGCCAGCTGAGATGCGGGACGGTGGGGGAGGAAGGGTGTGTCCAGGGGTGGAGCCAGGCCTCCAACTGAGATCCACCCCTCCCCCGCTCCCCGCACACCCTGGGTGGTCCCCTCTGCCGGACAGGCCTCCTGTGATCAAAGACTTGGACTCAGTGTGACCTGGGGCAGGTCGTCTCACCTGTCTTTGGTGAAGTCGGGGTAAGAAGCCCCCCGCAGGGGCTGAGGTGCACATTCAGGTAGAGCGCATGGTGAATGTGAGTCCGGCGGCAGCTGTGTCTTCCATTCACCCACACACATGTCACGCACACACTGCAGGTAGAAAAGACGTGGTTTGTTTCTAACCTTCCTGATTGCTTCAGGAGTTTACACTTGGCCCTGGGAGACAGGAGCATCCACAAGCGATGTTGAGTTCTTGACTTGGTCGCGTTCTGGCTGTGTGATCTTGGAGCAGGTGCTTAAGCTCTCTGTGCTTCCGTTTTGTTACCTGGAAGTTGGGGTGTATGGTGGCATCAATGCACATGAGTTTGAGTAAACTCCGGGAGTTGGTGATGGACAGGGAGGCCTGGCGTGCTGCAGTCCATGGGGTCACTAAGAGTTGGACACGACTGAGCGACTGAACTGAACAAGTTGGGTGTAATCATAGTGCCTACCTAGTAAGCTATTGTGGAGACTGAATGAATTAATATAGGAGAAGTGTTTAGAACAATGTCTGGCACACAGTAAGAGCTATGAAAAGATATGCTATTTTTATCACAAATGTAATGACCAAGTATGTAAAATAAGGATTTTTCTAGAATAGGCTTAATTTGAAATGTTCTTTTCAGTTGACAGGAATCACTAATGTTTGGAATTCCAAGACACTGGCATCCATGCTGTGCATCACAGACTGCCCTGTGCTTCCCATAATAGCCCCAGAAATCTTAGCTGGTTGGTGGGGAGACCTGTTCCTTCTGTTGATCGCTGTGTGACCCTGGGAAGTTTGCACACCCTCTCTGTGGCTTTCGTTTCTTGTCCGCTGTGACTGCTGAGTGGGGTGCCCGAGGGCAAGAGACGGTGAACACCTTGGATATAAAACACATCTCCCATCCCCATGCCGCTCAGCTCCCAGGCTTGGCCCCTAGCAAGGTGGCCTGGGAACACGTCCTTCCCGTGGGAGGGTGGGAGCCCGTGTTGGAGCATCCCCAACCCTCCTCTGCCCAGGCGCTCTGGCCTCCCCGGGCATGGAGTCCCCAGGCCTCCTCCTCTGGGCCCTGCCCTCTCCCTCCCCCACCTCCCTGCTGCCAGCTCTCCTCCCTCCGGTTGAACCTTGACTGGCTTCAGTCCTTTGCCCACGGAGCCAGTGTGTGGCATCCAGACTGGGCCAGGCGCCCCAGAAAGCCGCAGAAAAACCGACAGCTCTAGAACTCAGATCCTTGAGGCTTTCGGTTGCAGCTCTGCTGTGTGGCCTTGGGCGAGCGGCAGACCATCTGAGCTTCAGAGTCCTCATCTGTGAAATGGGTCAACAAGAGGCATGTAAGTCAGGTGGGGCCTGCCGAGAGCCTGCCCTTGACTCTGCTGACCTCGGGGAGAAGCGCTCTGTGGTCTGTCCTGGCTGACTTTGTCCTCTGTCACCAATGGTCCCCTGCCTTCCCCCCCAACCCCTGCCCCGACCTCTAGATGCCACATTGCTACCTCCTTGCCTTTGCTTTTTCGGGTTCCCTGTGTGGACCGCGCGCTCTCTCTGTTCATTTTAACCCTCCCATCCTTCCAGCCTGGCTCTCCTCCTCCCTGCTCCATTGAAGCTTCCCCACTGACCCTAAGTGGTCTCTGTCTGTCTTCTTCAGGAGGGAAAGAAAGCGGCAGGCCGCCAGCTGGGTGGTTTGTCTGTGAGAGAGGGACGGACAGGCGGATCTGGTCCTCAGGACACACGGCACCCCTTAACTCTGGGAACTGGAATCTCCATGTCTTAACTAACCCCTCCCCCGGCTGGAGGTGCCCAGCAGCCAGGCAGGCTTTTCGGTTTTTGGAGTCTTAGAGCGAGAAAGAGCTCCCGGACCTCCCGGGTGAGCAGGCCTGTGCTGCGCCCGGGGGGACATGACCGCTGGCTGAGTGGGCAGGGGAGGGTCTGTGTGATCTCAGCGCCAGCCTCTCGCCTGCCCATTCGCCTCCGAGTCCGTCCCCACGCTGCCCAGCGGCCGTGGCTGCCAGGCGACACTCACTGCCTGCTTGCCACGTTCTGTGTATCAACTCATACAATCCTTACCACGACCTGTGGCTTCTGTTTCCCACTTTGCTGATGAGACGCCTGAGGCTCCAGGGGTGGGCTCACTGGCCCTGAGCCCGCCCGCTTCCCCCGGGCTTGAGAGGGGCGGAGCGGGGTCTGAACCTGGAGCCCTGGCTCCAGGCCTTGCTTCCTGCTGCCGAGCCGCCTCCTCAGTCCCTCAGCATTGACCTGCCACCCTTCCACCGGCCTACCCACATTCCTGCCCGGCCGGCCAGCTGTGCGCTGGGGCTCTGCCAGCCGCGGGGCGGCTGCCATCCACAGAGCAAGATCCCTGTTCGCTAGGCACTCACCCCGTGGTGAGGAGCGACCACCCGTGGATCTCTAAGACTCTGATAAACGTGCTCCAGGTCTTGAGCACCCGCTTCTAGGGGAGGAGCTGTAACTCCCGCCAGGTCCCAGGCGGGGGGTGCTGGGCGGCCCAGCAGAGCTGAGGTCAAGGGGGGAAGGGTGATGGGAGGACTTCATCGGGTGGACAGCAGGGAACATTCAAGACCTGTTCCAGGCCAGGGGACGCAGTGTGCAGAGGGGCTGAGGCTGGAAGTGCCTGGGCGTAGGGGTGGGGGGTGGAGGTGGTGGTGGAGAGAAAGCTGGCATCTTATTACAGCTCTGAAGATGCCACGGCTTGGCAGCAGTCAGGACTGACACCAAGCCTCCCAGGCACTCCCGTGTCTGTTTTCTGCCAAGATGGGGTGCTGTCAGCAGTGGCTAGAGGTCTCACTCTATCCCAGCACCTGGCCCACCGCCCTCCCAAGGAAGTCTGTCCTTGGGTCTGACCTGCAGCCCGCGCTGACCACCACACATTCCTTCCAGAGCCCTTCATCCAGAGGCTGCTTTATGGCAGCAACCGTAAATAACTTCCGTCCTGAATGAATAAACTCCCAGCCAGCAAGGCTTGCCAGGGACGCTGGGCTTGGCTGCGAGAGCGATTCCGTGTCCCTTCTCCCTGACCCTGCAGCTGAAATGTTCCTGGGCTGATCTTCGGTGGCTTCCTCTCCCCAGGCAGCTGCTGTAGCCCCGTCTGGTGGTGCCGGACCCCCTCCAGCTCCCATCCCATTCCCCACGCCCCCCATCAGAAGCACTGGGAACATTTAGCCCTTCTGTTCAATCACAGTTCCTTGAAAAAGCCAAGAAGGCCCAGCTCACAGCCCAGAGGCACTGGCTCCGGGCTGGTTCTGATTATTCTTGGTGCATGTCTATGGGGAGGAGCAGCCGGGAGACCCGGGGTAAGTCTTTTCTCTTCTTTAGGCCTTAATTTTCCCATCTGGGCAATGGGATCATCTGTCTCCAAGGCAGTGTTTCTCAAACTAATCTGCTTGTGGGATGACTTGCCAGGCCCTGCCCTGGGAGATTCTGAGTAGGTTTGAGGTGGGGGTGGGGGCTAAGAATTAATTAGAGGGGGAGAGGTTGTTATGTCTCTTTAATTTCTTTTAAAATTTGAATGCAGCCACCCCCAGGACACCTCTTCTTTCCCAATGTTTCCTAAACTCAAATATCGGCAGACCTTTCTCACCAACAATTCACAATTGCGGCAAAGTGAAAGTAAAAGTCACTCAGTTGTGTCTGATTCTTTGCGACCCCATGGCCAGAATACTGGAGTGGATAGCCCTTCCCTTCTCCAGGGGATCTTCCCAACCCCGGGATTGAACC